TGCTCTATACAGCTGTACTGATTCAACATTAAAGTTAATGTCTTATGCTTAGTTAGGTCAGGTTGCGTATCCTTTACAGGACGTTGTAGAACCAACCCTAACAGCCCCTGGCTGTTGTGTGGTTTTTCTAGGCAAATTTACATCCACTGCTTTCTGGACGGTCTGCTTTCTTGATACCACTGTCGAAACCAACGCAAGGCGCATGGCCCGCAGCTGGGATTGAACCTGGCCTTACGAAGTGTTCGCATCGACTTAGCCACAGAGCCGACCTTATGCTTAGTACTAGTTTTAATTTCTTTTGACTTCTGTGGATTTCCTGGTGCTATGAAAACTCCTCATGCCTTTTGTATTTTTGTTTTAATATCCCTATCAGTTCCCAAATCGTTATCTACATTACAGCCCATACAAACGTATGACTCCAAATTTTGGAGTGGGATATCAGAGCCATACTGCTAAAAAAAAATAATCCTGCTATGTCTGGGAATAAGTTCAGGACCACTCTGTTGTCTAAGGAGAATAGCGCTGCAAGGAGTTACCAGGGGATCTGGCCAATGCTCAAAACTCAGGGGAAGGATGAGACGGATATACAATCAGACGGTTACTGGCACCATCGGAATAAGAACTCTTTGCTTGCTGCTGGAGATGGGGACTGAGCACTTATGGAAGTGTCCCGAGTGCTGTGATGTCGATTCTTAATTCAACATTCAACAATATGCCATCAGAGAACAATCCGGTAGATTATACAGTGAAGGCTCAAGGCAGAAACTCCTGGAGATCATCAACCTTTAATGTAAAGATCAGGTCTATCAAAGCAAATCTCAGAGGAACTATATTTCAGCCAAAATTATGCTGCTTAAGTCCTAAAAATTGACCCTTACTGCAATTACTGAGAAGGATATCAAATCTTCTTCTGCATTCGTCCGAAGATGTAATTGCTTTGTGCTCGTTTACAATGTGGCACCTTTCGTCTGACACATCCGAGTTCTGCAGGCATTTGTTGACCGGGTTAGCTTTCCCAGTGGAAATCATATCAACAGAGATGAGCTGCCAGGTAACAAGAAACATGAAGAACTTAGAATCAGACTAAGACTGAAATCAGTCATACACTTCACTAAAGAGCAACAGATGAGATGGTCTGGTCATCTGACAAGAATGTTCTAATACCAACTGCCAAGGAGAGCCATCATCTTCAGGTGGCATATGCGTTCATGCATCTCCACAGATCTCGCTCGGTCTTTGGTGTTTTGGATAAATTCCCCTGATTCCTCCTTGCCACTGTCTTAAGCCATCCACTATCATTTCTCTTGGTCTGCCTCTGCTTCTTCTACCAGTGATCTTTCCGGTCGTCGCCATATTTTCCAGTGTTTGTTTTCTCATCTCATGACCAAAGAACTTTTTTTTTTTTTTGGTCTCAAGAGCAGCCAATTGGAAAATATATAATGAACCTGAGCAAGGGGAAAATGGCAAATGTTAGAACAGCGTGGCCTTAGAAAAACAAAAAAAAACAACTTATAAAAGACATTAGAAATAGCATATAAATGATCCTTACAAATCCATCCAACTTTTCTATGAGGTAACAAAAGGAAGAGAAGCAGAAAAAGAGGAACAAATGCAGGAAAGAACAAAAACATACCCAATGCCTCCCTAACAAGCATGTCATAAGTGTTGACTAGCTGGGGACTTCCTTCGAAGACGGAGTGCAACTACCCGAGCGGCAATGAAAAACCAACTGCACACAAAAAAGCCACTAAAACGGATGTACACACAAAACTCAGGCCCTGGCACAAAGCCAAAGTCCAAATGAATGAACAACTGGGACTTTCCACTGGAGCTTTACAACCAGTAAACAAAGAAGAAGAAGAAAGAGTAAGAAAGTTAAAAGAGATCATAAATAGGTTAAAATATAAAGCAACAAGAAATTAAGAAAGTGTAAAATGTTTTATCATGGATTTTGTAGACCAATTAAAAGACTGAATAATTTTCTCACAGGGTGGTTGAATCACAAATGTTTATAATATTATTTAAGTTTTTGTTTTTTTGTTAGGAATAAGACATAAAAATATTTTACAGAATAGATTTGATAGAACAAGAGATCCAAATGTTTTTTCATAGGCTTATAAGACTACAAAAAAAATCAAATATTTTCAGAAAAGAGATGAAAATATTTTCTCACACTTTTGAAATAATGACAACAGATTTAAATATTTTATCACAGATCAAATTATTAAATCATAAATTTTATATGATGGCCAAAGATTCAAAGATTTGATAGAGCAACAACAGATCCAAAAATATGATTTAAAATTCTATATAGAAATAACAGATAAAACATTTTAGATAGCAACAGCAAGATAAATATGTATAGAGAAAAAGATCAGTTTTTCTTCTCATATGTTTAAAAGAATATGAGATCAAAATATTTTCTTATATATTTTAGAATTAAAAGTTACAAAAAATATTTGTAAAAAATGTTAATTAAAAATACTATACAAGACATATCTTTTATAAAGAAAACAGCACGAACAGCCTAAAATGCTGATCACAAAACACAAAGGATTAACATTCATCATGCAGTTTGCTAAGTAGGTCATGATACATTTTAAAATATTAACAAGCCAAAAGACTGGTTTAAAAAAAGTAATGGCCAAAATAAATGAACAGTTTAACATTTGTTGTAGCTTGCCACCGTGTTCGTGTATGCCTGCCACACAGAAGAGTTCTGTAAGCACATCATCCCTCCGCCTCTCTTAAACTGGCTGTTCATTCTATTGATGTCTCCGATACACGTCCACTTCTCAAGTTCATGAAATCTCAACACCTGTTGATGGTTGAAACAGTTAAATTCTGTCAGTAATACGTTACACATTGCCTGAATGTTATATTCAAATTCTGAAATTTCCCATTCTCTGGAAACTTGTCATACATGCTCACTCTGTCTTCCCTGTTGCTCTCTCTATCCATCTCCCTTGCTCTTCCTTCCTCCTCTCTTTATCCACCTCCCTCTCTCCATCCCTCCCTGTCTTCCTTCCTCCTCTCTCTATCTACTTACCTCTCTCCATCCCACCTCTCTGTTTTTCTTTCTTCTCTCGCTGCCCACCTCCCTCTCTACATACCGCTACCCCCTTTATTTTTCTTTGGATACCTTATCGGCCAAGAATATTCTCTGCCCAGGATACTCCAGAGGAAGTGAGGACAGAACTTGTGTTGCATGAGCCCTGATCCTGGTTTATCAGTTCCTCTGCATTCTTCGCCTCCTTCTTAGCATTCACCAGCCGTAAAGTCCAGTGGACAATTATGGTTGTTTGTCCACTTTTGAACTTTGGTTCTATTCCAGTACTTAAGTTTTGTGTAAACATCCATTTTACAGATCTGGCTTATTTACATGGAGACTTTTGATTCCTTGCCTCTCAGGTCCACTCTGACTTTGAAAAAAAAAAACATCAATTTTTAGTCTCCTTGTATGACATGCTTGTTAAGGGGCTGTGAGTATTCACCCCCCCCCCCCACCCCCCACAATGGAGCATGAAACCCACATGGGAACTGTGATGTTCACTATTTCCTCTTCATTACTGCAAGAACCAGTAGGCTGTATAAGACTGGTACTGGAACTTCTCCTTTTGAGGACAGCATAAACAAACTCAACAGGAAAGAACAAACATCAATTTTTAGACTTCGGACGACACTGTGGTCTTTGAGCACACCTGTACAGGATAGGCATAAAAGAATCTGCTGCCTGTGATTGTGGAGCAGAAAGACAGACCCCTGAGCACATACTGCAGTACTGCCCTTACCTCTCCCAGCAAAGACTGTGGATCTGGCCCAGGGTACCCACATTACTTACGAGAGAAGCTATGGGGGACCGGTGGCGACCTTAAACGCACAATCCTATTTTTGACCCAGATGGGACTCAATGTGTAGCATGACTGATGTCGAACGCAGAAAATGAAGAAAAATGAGAAGCACAGTAGGATGGTTTGGTCATGATTCAGCACAGTACATTAGGCTAGATGAGGTTAGACCTTGTTGTTCCTGTGTGAGGTCCAGGACCCATTGTAGTACTGCCTCCTAACAAGCGTGATGTAAGAGTCAACTAGTTAAAGTGTTTCTTTCAAAGTCAGAGTGCATCTGCATGAGAGGCAAAGAACCAACAGTCAGCACAAAAATGAGCCAGGTTTGTAAAAGCGGATGCGCACGTAAAACTCAGGTTTTGGAACAAGACTAAAGTCCAGAAATGGATGAACAACCAGAACTTTCTGTCAGAGTTTACAGAGAAAAGGAAGAAAGCTGTTTCATAGTGTTTCCTTCTTGGGTTTCAGGTAATTTATTTTCAACAAATTTTAACCCGATGACCAGAGAAACAATATAGTTCATAAAAATATAGTTTCTTAATATTCTTCTTCTTCTATGTTCAACTGAAGATGTAAATGTGTTGCGCCAGTTTACAGCATGGCTGTGGTATTTGCACATTTCAGACAACACATCAGACTTCTGCAGGCATTTGTTGACCAGGTCAGTCCTCCTGGTTAGTTTCTGAATATGTATTGTAAGAGTTAAAAGCAAGCAATGATAAAAATGGGGCTGCGTGATCTCAGGGCATGGTGTCCGCCTCGAGTGCTAGAGGTTCCGGGTTCAATCCCCAGTAAGGGCTGGGATTTTTTTCACGTGGACTTGGACTTCTAGTAATTCGCCCTGGTTTTTGGGTAGTGAGATCAGATGCCCGTGTGCATTGCTGCGCATGTAAAAAAAATCCCTTTGCAGTTGGAAATCAAAAAGAGTAGCCTAACGGCGCTGCCAGGCAAAATTTGAGTTTTAAAATTTATCCAAAGTATTTCATAAGACTCACTGGTGCTACAGAGCCTGTACATTGCGCTGAGCTTCTTCGGACTCAGACTGGAGTTAGAAGAAAGAACGGACCACTTATGGGTTACTACCCATGTGCCATGATGTTGATCCATTGTTCAAACTTCAAACGTAATGAAATAACAGAAAGCAGTCCATACCTTTTCTCCTCTGATTCCAGCAGCAGTGCTTATTGCCCATTTGGAGTGGTCCTTGGTCTCATTGAATTTCACAGCAAAAGCTTGCATGGAGATAGAGGTAATTTTCATCACCTGACATGATGAAATTGTACAGATAGAATTACAAAGGTCAGATTTTTAAGAGCATGCATCTTTCCCATTGCAACATACGCCTGTGAGACCTGGACACTTACTAAACAAGCGGAACAGCGCATAAATGCATTTGAATATAAATGTTACAGACAGGTTCTAAGAATATCTTGGGTAAAGAAAAGAACAAATGCATCCATACTTCAAGAGCTGAATATTGAAGAGGGTTGGCTAGAAAAGACAATAAAACAAGGAAAATTGAAATATTTTGGTCACTTGAAACGTCATGGAAGTCTAGAGAGAACAATAATGGAGGTGTATATGCCTGGGAAGAGAGGAAGAGGAAGGCCAAGGAGAAGATGGGTGCAGGATGTGGCAGATGATCTCCAGATGGGTGTATCAGACGCAGGACATCTTGCTCAGGATAGGAAGGTTTTCCGGAGGGTTGTTATGGCAGCGAGGTTCCGCGAGGGACATGCTACTGAATGAATGAATGACATGATGAAAACAGTGGAAATCTTGTAAAAACTGTTTCAGTTTCTGGGTGTAAAATATTCTATTTGACACAAATACTTCTGGTCTGCTATATAATAAAAGCGGTTATTTCGAGCCCACTTATATGGCGTCTGTGGCTTAAGTATTGTGAATGCCAGGTTTGATCCCAGCTGCAGGCAATCTGGTATCAGACCTTGCAATGGTTTCTATTGTGGTATTGAGATGTGACTGTTCCACAAGAAGTAGCAAACTTCACTCATTCGTTATCCTGTTGTGCCATTATATGCCACATATTGTTTGCAGTAGCGGCATCCGTGGCTTAGGCGTTGCAAGTCCGACTCATATTTCCAACGCACAGTGATCGAAACCCACTGCTGGCTGGGTGGATTTTTATGCCAATACAATAATTCAAATCCCCAATGAAGCAATGGTAAAAAAGGTCATTTTATAAGTCCGAGTGTCTTTACACTGTAAGGGATGTCATCAAAGCATCCCCGTGTGCATATTTGTTTTCCTGGCATCATTTCTTTCTTTGGACTGTGTTGTGTTTTTATGCTTTTGTTTTTGTTGCGTGATAAATTTGTTTACACTGACCTAATGTTTTCTACGTGTTTACAAACAAAAACTCTACCTTGTAATTTGCTGAACAGTTGGAATCTAATTTTCCTCCTTCCCCATTCAACCAAGTCTCAACAAGCAGATCCTGCTGCAGTGTTGGGGCCACTAGAGCATCATACAAATCTGGCAAAAAGACATTAGTAAGTTAAAAAAAGTAATGAACCATCTTCTACGCCTTCAGGCACATTGGTATTTAGGTATTGGGCACCTATATTTTAAAGACCAAACGGCACTTGGTGGGTGATGTGGTCAGCATCACGCCGGCCACCTTTACCTCCAAGGACTGTATCGGGTACCACTTAGGGCTGGGTCGACATGGCAGCCAGGGTCATTTTTGAAAAAAGTCTGGCTCAAATCAGGACCCCAACCAACGACCTTTGACCTGCAGGCAAGGTCTAGCCACTTGACCACGTTGGCTCCCAAAAAGACATTAGAACATTCAGTATTTTAACAAAACATGTTTCAAGTGAAATAAGAGATGTTGTTGAAAACTTTGTTCTGTGCACTGGTTTCAGAAACTATCTCGTTAAATTGTTTTGGAATTTTTATAAAAACCATCCAAGCCACCAACCAAACTCGCAAAAGGACATAAAAAATATTCACTCACATGTTTCAAGTAAAAAGAGAGAGATGGCTGAAATACGGCAAGTGTATGAGATAAAGAAGTTACCTGGACCACTTCTGGTTACATTTTTTTTACAAAATTAGTTTATAATTTAACACAGTCATCTGATATCTACAGAATTAAGATAATATAGGTTTTCTTAGATAAGATCAAAAAGTGTGAAGTCCTGTGTAGCAGCTTTGCACATTAGTAAATCTATAGCAGTTGGATATCAAAATTAATATGGTGTAAGACAAAACATAGCCCTAGTAATACTGTTAGCAAGAGAAACCTACTAACTGATAGGCAGACCCAGTTTCTTTGGACGGAATGTAACTTTTTTTCTTCTACCTTCTTCTTAACTCAAAGAAGCATATGTACTCAGCACATCCAAATCAAGTTTGTAAATGTCTTGAATGGTTGTGAATCCTCTGAAAAGCTTCCAGTTTTAACTTCTTCTTCTTCTTCTTCTTCGCGTTCACCAGTTGTAAACTCCAGCGGAAAGTTCTGGGTGTTGTCCACCTCTGGACTTTAGTCTAGCTCCAGAACCTCAGTGTTGCATGCACATCCGTTTCACAAATGTGGCTTATTTGTATGCAGGCTTGTGGCTTCTTGCCTCTCAGGCAGATATACTCCGACTTTGAAGGATGTCCCCAATTAGTCAACTCCTATGACATGCTTGTTGGGGAGGCAGTGGGTCTGTTATAGTTTTCCCCACAATGGGGATCCCCAGGTTCAGAGGTTCAGAAAGGGGTTGCATCCATCAGGGCGAAGTTGATTTGGAAACTGTTTATGACTATTCCAGCAAATCATATGGTCAAGAAAGACTGGGGCTGCATAGGACACATATAAAGAAAAAAGTAAATGGAATAACTAAAACATCATTTTCTCTAGAACCAACACAGCAAAACAAACAGAGGGAGACTGAAAAGTCATACAGAAGAGAATTATACATATCAATAACATGAGAAGAACATGCAGAGAGCTGCAGGAGATGGCAAAAGATCAGCAGTATTGCAGGAGGTGGGTGACGGTCTGTGATCTATCTATATATATATATATAGAAATCAATGTTTGTGTGTTTGTTTGTTACCTATAGACTCTGAAACTACTTAACCGATTTAGCTGAAATTTTCAGGATATGTTTGATTTGATGGGCTGTATCTACCTATCTGATTCTACCTGTCATGGTTTGAAATAGGTGGCAACATTTGTTAGGGAAATATTTTCATTTTAGTGACATTCAATTAAAGCCACGAGACACACGACTTTCACTGTGCATGCGCAGTTTTGGGACGCTCCATTTTCAACATCCGCCCACCAGATATGTTGATGTGTACGTTCATTAATACTTGAAGCTCTTTCTGGGATATTTGTCTATGATAAAACAATTGCCTGCGGTTTTAATTTGTGTTAACAACACATTTCATAAAAGGTAAGCGCATTTATTTCAGTGACATCAGTCAGTATGTACATTTTTTTGTTAACTTTCAACATGTGTGAACTACTCCTTAAATCCCACAATGATAAATGTCTACACATTATTCGTTGACATTCTCCTATTGTCTAGCGTGTATTATGATTGTTCTTGTTACTTTTTTTATTCTTATTATTCAGAACTGCTACATTTTTATAGATTTCCATTTATTTTCCTTTTCATTTAATTATTTCGTCTGACATTGCGTTGGAATTAGTCTGTGTTGTTTACCATTGCATTCATTTTGTAATTATGGTGTATTTTTCCTGTTTTCGTTGCTTTTCACTTGGTTTCTTTCTCCCAACTACTTAGATGATGGAAAGAGTAGTCATAAAATTGGGGGTGGGGTGGGGGGTGGAGGGGGCTGTGGGGGGGGGGGGGCAACATAAAATGTTAACTGAGAGAGCTTTAGGTCACAGTAACTGCCTTACCCACTAAAAGTAGCAGCAGCAGTTGTGGTTGGGCGGTTACACCGTAGTGCTGTCATGCCGGAGACCGCTGGTAAGGTGATGGTGTTTTTCTGTCTGGGGGCCAAATTACACATCCTAACCTGACCAGTCCGAAGCGATAGCACTAGCCATGTGGGGCCAAATCCTCTGGCTCACGACTCCCTGTCTACTCCAATAGTAAAACAGATAGCAGTGACATTATTTTAGTTATTGTGGTGGTGGTCATGGTAGTAGTTGTACTGGTACTTGAAGGATGGTGTGGTAAATATTACACTAGCCGCATTTACTACTCATTACAATTCCTGCTCCCCACTTTAGACTGGATGGACAGGGATATCAAGGTCAGTTACAAAAAATATCGTCAGGTGATGTTTTTCAAATCCCTCGAAGAGGAAGAGAGCGGTAGTCGGTGGATGGGGAAGGGGAAGGAAGTGATGACAGAAATTTTTAACCTTAAGAGCTTAACACATGATTTTATAGTTTTTATTTCTTAATTAGTCTATATTTTACTAACGCTACCTCCGCTATTCTCATATTTTTTACGACTTACTTGGATATTTACAAGAACAGTAGTAAGCTTAACTTCCGTCTCTTAAAAATAAAAATACAAACAGCTTTAGCATGTGATAACCAAATAACCCTTTTTTTTTAACTGTCCTAATAATACCATTTATACAACCACTAATATAAAGACACAATTATATGTTGCGTGTTCTAAAGTCGGCAAACCAGACTATTGTCTTTCTTTTCCAAAAACCTTCGATGACGGAGAGAGTAGTAGGTGGATTTGGTGGTTGGGGGTGGGGGGGGGGGGGAGGCATCGAAGACTATCTCTGTATCTGTGAGGACAATGATTGCAACAGTAACCACATTAGACACGTGTTATTTCTAGGGCTGTACCGAATATTAGCTTCGTATTCGTTTCGGGGCCGAATAGTGGACCAAATAACCATTTGCTATTTGGCCGAATAGTTGCAGTCAGGCCGAATACGAATAGTGGTTACCTTACACCCGTTTCTGGACTGGTAGAAAAATAACAAATCAAGATTTCCCACCTTGGTTCATACTGTCAAGCGTTATCTTTGTGCACCACCTACGAGCGTACCAAGTGAACGTCTGTTTAGTACAGCTGGAAATATCTTCAGTGAGACAAGAAGCTGACCACATGGAACCATTGTTTTGTTTTTTAAAGCTAATGCCGCTTTCATGGACTAACTAAGCTGTCAGTGACAATTTATGAATTTAGTTACTTGTTATAAAACTAAGAATACTTTCATTCCGATGTATTAGTTACCACAGACTGAGTGACTAAAGGATGCAAAACATGAAATGTTTTTAAATGTTTACTATTATGTACTACATTTTGTGAAGTAAAATTTCAGCGTACATTTGACATTATGGATGTTTTCTTTTTAGATCAATTTTATACACGAAAGTGGAAGAATAGGCCTCAGTCTGAATAGTGGGAAGACAGAAGTAATGGTGGTATCAAAGAAAATAATTATTCCTAAATATGTAATGAAAGTCAATGGTTTTATTTTGGGACAAGTACAGAAATTTAAGTATCTGGGCACGTGGATAACATCAGATGGAAGATGCATTACTGAAATAAGAAACAGAATAGGACAGGCAAAAACTGCATTTTATAAAATAAAGAACATCTTATGCAATATATCTTTGTCGTTGAAGGTTAGAAAAATAATTCTTGCTTGCTACATAAATCCAGTTTTAACATATGGCTGTAAGTCCTGGACAATCGGTAGGCAGGCCAAACAATTTCTTGAGGCCTCAGAGATGTGGTTTTACAGAACAATGCTTAAAATACCTTGGACAGCCAAAAAAAAAAAAAAGCAACCAAGAGGTTTTGATAGAGGCGGGAGCCCGAAGACAACTACTCACAGACATCAGAAGGAGACAGTCATCATTTTTTTGCCACGTTATGAGATGAGGGAAAATGGAACATGTGGTGACCACTGGAAAGATATGTGAAAGGAGGGATAGAGGAAGACAACGAGAGAAGATGACAGTCTTGTTGCATTGCATGGAGGTGTGTCAGCACACGAACTAATACATGCTGCAGGAGATCGCAGATTGTAAAGAGGCATAATCGACTATGCCAGTCGGCAAAGCACCTGATGATGATGATTCACTATTCGTATTCGGCCGAATAGTTGATCCAGCTATTCGTATTTGGCCGAATAGTGAAAATGACTATTCAGTACAGCCCTAGTTATTTCTATTTCTTTTCTAATCCATTCAGCCAAACTATGCCACAGCAACGCGTGGCCGGGTAAAGCTAATACAAAAATAAAAATGAAGAGGATGAATAGGAAGTAAAAAAGAAAAGGAGGAGTATGAGGAGAAGATAAGGAAGAAGAAGAAAGCAGATAAATGAGAAAACAAGTGAATACCTCAATTATTATTCTCTTGTAATAGAGTAATTAATATTTACCAGGACCTACCTGCTTCAAATTTGCCAGATTTGGCAAAACTAGTGAACTGCTGTCCACCAAGAGATGTCATTTGTAAAACACTGCTGTAAGGTGGGCCAGGAGGAGTTTTTCCATGGATGACGTCGTTTAGGACAGGGTAGTCTTGACTAAATGAGGCAGGCACAGTGTGGTTGTAAATATGTGGTTCGTTATACCACAACTGTTTTGCTGGGGGGAAAAAAAGCATCAAAGAAAGTAATCAACTTCAGCCTGGTGTATATATGTTCAAAAACCCGTTTTTGCAAGCAACATCTTATACTCATACCCCCCTTATACTCATACCCCCCCCCCCCTTATACTCATACCCCCCTTATACTCATACCCCCAATAAAAAAATTGTAAGAGGACAGAGAACAACCCCTCCAACTATAACTGCACATGTAAACAACAGAGGACTGCAACCTGGGCTTGTGGTGGTGGGAAGGGGGGGGGCATGAGGAAGTTTCAAGGGGGCATCAAGTTGAGTGCATCTGTTCTTGTAATAATCCAGAATCTTAGCTGTAGCAGTCATGAAAACAAAACAGCAATGCCAGATTTGTGTTGGGACAGATATCTCCCTTGTGTCTTGTCCAACATCAAACCAAAAACAGCAATGCCAGATTTGTGTTGGGACAGATATCTCCCTTGTGTCTTGTCCAACATCAAACCAAAAACAGCAATGCCAGATTAGTGTTGGGACAGATATCTCCCTTGTGTCTTGTCCAACATCAAACCAAAAACAGCAATGCCAGATTTGTGTTGGGACAGATATCTCCCTTGTGTCTTGTCCAACATCAAACCAAAAACAGCAATGCCAGATTTGTGTTGGGACAGATATCTCCCTTGTGTCTTGTCCAACATCAAACCAAAAACAGCAATGCCAGATTTGTGTTGGGACAGATATCTCCCTTGTGTCTTGTCCAACATCAAACCAAAAACAGCAATGCCAGATTAGTGTTGGGACAGATATCTCCCTTGTGTCTTGTCCAACATCAAACCAAAAACAGCAATGCCAGATTTGTGTTGGGACAGATATCTCCCTTGTGTCTTGTCCAACATCAAACCAAAAACAGCAATGCCAGATTTGTGTTGGGACAGATATCTCCCTTGTGTCTTGTCCAACATCAAACCAAAAACAGCAATGCCAGATTTGTGTTGGGACAGATATCTCCCTTGTGTCTTATCCAACATCAAACCAAAAACAGCAGATATCATCAAGGAAAAAAGTGTCAAGCATCACATTAGATATTTGGACACTAAATTACCACTTATTGGTGATTGTTACTTTAATGTTATTTGACACTTTGATTTATGTGCATGTTTTCTCCAAGTTCTTGTTAACAGTGCTTGGGCATTTTTTTTTTTTTTGTTCTCCTCATTTTAATCACATTCTGTTATGCTGTGGAAGTGGGTTGGTGGGCGAGGTCTTGCTATATACTCAAGGAGTGGTGGGGGGGGGGGGGGGGGGGGGGGGCCCATTTGAAAAAGGTTGAAAACCATCTTAGAGCCACCATCCCATCCCCCTTCCACTCCCACAAAAAAGTATAAAGGGGCTTTGTGCCCTTTTTCCCATGTTTTTCTTTGTGGTAGAATCTCTGATGCTTCCATCTTTGTAAGTTAAAATAACACAACAAATATCTAGGACTGTTACATGCTGCATGGGTCCATTCATGTATTGCTTCTGACAGTACTCTTTAGCTGTTTCCACCTCGCAAAGTCCATTCTTGTGTTTTCTTCTGGTAATACTCTTTGGCTGGTTTGATCTCACAAGGTCCATTCTTGTGTTTTCTTCTGGTAATACTCTTTGGCTGGTTTGATCTCACAAGGTCCATTCTTGTGTTTTCTTCTGGTAATACTCTTTGGCTGGTTTGATCTCACAAGGTCCATTCTTGTGTTTTCTTCTGGTAATACTCTTTGGCTGGTTTGATCTCACATGGTCCATTCATGTACTGGTTCCGATAATATTCGTTGGCTCCTGGAAGGCAAATCCAGGCAAAAAATACCAGCTAAAAGGCACAAATATCACAGCCATGCTTTAAACTGGCACACCACAATTATATCCTTTGACAAAAGCAGAAGAAGAAGATACATTTCAGCTGTTTTTAATAATGCATGATCTATTGTGTCGCTGTTTCTGAGAAACTGCTAAAATTTTGTTTCTTCATATTGCATACCTTGTCTGGTAGTGTTTCTGATACCTAATCTTATCATACTCTACAATTCATTGAAACAATTGTTTGAAACACTCACCAACATTTCCCAGCTGGTTGTACGGGAAGGTCACACACAGGAAGGACTGCCCATAATGACAAGCAGTTGTAGGATAGGTATAACCGTGATCTTTGCCTGGAGGGAAATGTGGTGCACTGTGGATCAGCCAGAACCCTGAGTTTTTATCAAATGCCACAACACCTGGAAAATAATTTTTATTTATAGAATTAGTTTTCACGTGACATGGAAGAATGTGTGCATGAGTATGGGTGATGTGTGCTCATACTGTATAAATGCAGGTATAGATGTATATATGTGTATGGAGGCAAGGATAAATGAAAGGGCATGTGTATGTTTAAATAACGCACACACAAACAATACATTGCACAATTTAGTACCAGGCATTTCCTCAGATACATCATTACAGAGTTAATCAAGATACAATGAAGCACAAGAACTAAATAAATTGCCCTAAAATGTGAATGGTTTCTCTCAATGCGTCGTGTTCGTCTAGATGCCGGAAGTTCACTGTAGTCAAGTGGCTCACCATGGTAACTTTAAATTTATTATAAATTCCTTCTGCTTACATAAGAGGGGTTTTGTTGATTTTAACTGTTAAAGCTTCAGCTAGTCTCAGCATTCGCCTGTTTGGAGTGAGGTAACCATATCAAAAACACTGTCCATGTCAATTATATGTCCAGAATCAAGCAAATGACGTCCTACAGAAGTATAGAATATGTATGTGCTGGTATTTTTTAAACTGTCCATACTGTCTGGTATTGAAATTCTATGTGGGGGGTTGGGGGGGGAGGGATAGACCCACTGCCTCGATAAAAAGCAAAAAGGCAATTGAATGTTGGCATTTCCATGGAAATCTGTGTGCATTTGCCTGAGGTGAGGAAGCAACAGTCTGCATACAAAAAACCAGATGTGTAAAACTGATGTGCACACAAAACTCAAGTTCTGGAACAAGCCCAAAGTCCAGAAGTGGACAAACAACCACAAATTTCCACAGAAGCTAACCCCGGTGAACACTAAGAATAAGAAGATATCGTACAATGATGATGTTGATGATCATGAGGAGAATACTCGATGCCTTATGAACGCCACCTTTAGTGTGTCCTCCCTCATCTTGAACAGTAGTCTGTGATGCTGGTGGCGGTTCATCGTTGTACATAATATACATCATGTCATCATTCTGTAATACCACAAGAATTTTGACACAAATATTTTACTAACCATATTACCACTAGGTGTAGTTTGGTCATATGCTTCTACTTCTTCTTCTTCTTGTGTTCATTAGCTGTAAACTCCAGCAGAAAGTCCTGGTTGTTTGTCCATTTCTGGACTTTCTTTATTTAGTCTTGCACCAGAACTTGAATGTTGTGTGCACATTTGTTTTACGGATCTTACTAATTTGTGTGCAGACTGTTGGTCTCTTGCCTTTCAGGCAGATATTCTCTGACTTTGACAGAAGCACCCCTAATTAGTTGACTTGTATTACATCCTATTTTTTTTGCCCCTACAATGAGGCCCCTAAACCCATACAGTGTTTAGTCCTTTTTTGGAGGGGATCCAGCTTGGTACTATCACAATACTTCGGCCTTGATACTGCTACGTGTGATCTGTCCAAGGGCATCACACGCTTGCCAAGTATGTAAGGGATTTTTTTATGCTTTGCCCATACGCACAAAAGTTCTTGAATCAACAACATACTATAACCACTTGAATCACAAGGTCAACACCAATACACTAAAAGTTATTCTGTAAAAGTACATAAGTCTCTTTATTACTGATGAAACACATTACGACAAAGATGCGTTGTGATGAGTTATGATCGGTGGCACAGTGTCAAGTCTTCTACCTCCTTCCCAAATATTCAGATTGCCAGTCCCTCTAGACATGGACAAAACATCCCAGTGAACTACGTTCCAGGTGCCTGCTACGGGCAACTCACACCAGATCACGCAGATACACCTATGTGATGTACAGTGACAATCCTCTGACTGTGCTGCCTAAAAGGCCCTGTCATCAAGGACTAAAGATAGATGCACCTCTTGATGAAAACTCCAGGCTTCCTGCCTGCTATCCCAAGCACTCACCGAAAGCATCACTGACTACCATCCCGGCAATCAGCCTCCAATACTTTCCCTCCAACAAACACCAGGTTAGTTAACACACACAAGGCTCCTGGCACCTTCTGTATCCTTACAGATACTCCTGTTAGCTACGTGTCCCATAGCCGCAACAGTGTCGATCCCACAAACACATGGGCCGCACAACTGTCCAATCTGGAAATTATACAGACATAAATCCTAAGTCTATCTCACGATCCACCAAACCCATTAGACAATTCACAGGAGCTCCAATAGAATAAGAACTCCTTGTTAAAACACACTGGACTGGAACAAAACATTCTCAAACACGCTCGCACACTAAGACTGACTGAGAGGCACTGACTGGACACGGGTTAAAAATCAACTCAGCGTCTAGTCACGCTTGGATCTTGCAATACCCGTGAAGACGGCTGTTAGCCGTTAATTCAAGAAACCTCTGTCTCATGAGTCCAGCCGCGTGGACCTTTTGCACTCATCTCTGTCATCATCATCATCTAGCGCCTTTACAAATGGCATAAGCGATCACGCCTCTGACCTTTGGTACAATTGAACAGCAAAGTGAGTTTAGCACATGACAAATACCATGATAGATACTGTTAATCACTTTACTGGCCAGATTATACCCCAACCCCCATATTCCTCATTGAAGCAGGCTTTTAAAATTGACCTGCACTTCCAGGTAAATCCATCCTAAAATGTAAACCTGGAAATGTTTTGTGAAAAAAATGTGGTCAGCGTGATACTGTCCATATCAACTACTAATTTCTGATTGTTCTATAAAAAAAAAAACCAGTATGCCTCAAGAAATGGAGACTGAACCTTTAACGTAAAGTAAAGGAGCCTTTTCCATGCCTTTAAGTATATTGGGCAAATAGGGCTAGACCTATATTTTTATAGGCCAAGCGGCACAAGACGGGTGATGTGGTCAGCATCACACAAGCCACCTTTACTTCCCAGGACTGCATCTGGTACTCACTCAAGGCTGGGTCGATTTGGGAGCCAACATCATTTATGAAAAAAAAAGTCAAGATCCGCCAGGAAGCAAGTGCACGACCTTCCAATCCGCAGGCGAGCATCAAGCTGCTACGCCTCAGCAACTCCCGACTGAACCTTCAGCACTGAATAATGAGTGACTCTCCTTGTGTGGGTTCCTGGACTCTTTTGGAGAGGGAAAAAAGAATAGACTAATTGCCCCTTCCTCCTCCTTGAGCAAATGCTATCAAATCTTATAGTACTGTCCTTGATTCATTCATTGTCTTATTATAACATTTTATGACATAGAGGGCTCACAGTCTAGTTCTCCGTTCCATTCTATTCTGTGTAATCACTTTGATATCACAGACGAAATACAGTCCAAAACTGTTGGCTTCTCTTATCAATGTTTCTATAAGGGTTTCTCTAGGGCTCTGCGCCACACACTACTTGACTCATTTGCTTACCAGAAGGGTATCTTTAACTGAAAGTTTCTGCAGCAAATGAATGTTTAGGGTGTGGAAGTTGCCCCCTGCCTAATCCTACTCCTTTCTCATCCGGGCATGGGACCATCAATGGTAGAGATTCTAATACTGTTAGTCAGTTAGTGGTGTATCCTTTACCAGATGTTGCAGAACCAACCCAGCATTTTTTGGCTGTTGTGGTTTTTCTAGTTTGCCACTGCTTCTGAACGATCAGCTCTGGGTACCACTGTCAAACCAAGGCAAGACAAATTGTCTGCAGATGGGACTGAGCCCGGCATTATGAAGTGTGTTCACAACGCCTAAGCCATAGACGCCGACTCTAGTACTGTAGGAATTAAAAATACCTTTCCACTGTAGATTGCAGACAGGGTTTGATACACAGCTTCTTGTGACTCATTCATTGCATGATTCAAGAGTGCCCACTTAGGTGAGCGAACATCCAGGTATAAGGGAGCAAGCCCGGCTCTGATCATCCAATTGCTTGAACTCTTAAGAGCAGGTAATTTATATATTGCATACCTGCAACAAAGAAAGTGGAGAGGTTGGTGGGTGTGTCTACAAACATCAAACAAATAGGGCTATGTAAGGAAAGAAACTGAATAATGATTTGTTAGTATGCCTCATCATCATCATCAAGTGCCCTGCCAACTGGTGTAGGCGCTCATGCATTTACACAGATCACGATCCTAAGTTGCCTGAAACATCTCTCTTGGTCTGGCTCTAATCCCTCTTTCCACTGATCTTTCCAGTTGTCACAATGTTTTCCAATGCCTCTTCTCATAACGTGGCCAAAGTACAGTGTTTGGCTCCTTCTTATTGTAGTATTAAGAGACCTACTTTCTTTAGCTTCTTTCAAACAATCGTTGTTAGTTACTCTGTTTGGCCAAGGTATTCGTAACATTCGTCTCAGAAACCACATCTCTGTTGTTTCTGAATTCCTCTTAATGCATTGATGTTCCAAGGTTCACTGCCATACAGCAGAACATGTTCTATGTAACATTTAAGCACTCTCTTTGAGTAAGACCAAGAAAGTCCCTGTGTAGAACCATCATCAGGAAAGGCTCAGCCATGGGCCTAATGAACACCCGAGACCTAAAACAGGTGGCAACGAACAGCCAGACTTGGACAGCTATGACCTCTGCTTTATGCGCCAGTTTAGGCTCAAGAAGAAAGACTCATTAAGTAACTAATCTGCGTATTCTGCCAAGCTCAAAGTATAAACTATGGATTCAGAGAAAATAAAACAGTCCATTATGATAGAAGTAGAGGGGAATTGCAAGAGTGCAAACAAAGTAAAAAGCAACCAAACAAAAAAAACAAAAATGTAAAGAACCCTCTAACAAGCCTTCAAGCCTATTGGGCATATAAGGCTAAACCAATATTTGTATAGACCAACTGGCATTTAGTGGGTGATATGGTCAACATTACACCAGCTGCCTTTACTTCCCAAGACTACATCTGGTAGTCAAGGCTGGGTAAACTTGGCAGCTAAGTCTTACACCGTCATGACCCGAACCCATGACCTTCAGATCCGCAGACGAGTGTTTAGCCTCTACACCTCAGTGGCTCCCAGAAAGAAATAAGGTAAAGGAGAACAAAAATACAACTTCAAAACATAATATCAAAGCATATTGTTAAAATACTGTGTAAAGCAGAGAAAAAAGATTACCAACCAGTCAACAGAATTTCCCAAGGCATCCAAGCATGTTATCCCAAGACCTCCTGACAATAGACTGCATAAGAAAATGCACATCAGCATTCTTTTCCACATGTCTGCAAAATGTATCATTATTTAGTTTTGTATCATACTGTGTTATTAACGAAGTCTTTTCCACATATCTGCAGAATGTATCATTTAGTTTTGCATCATACTGTGTTATCAACGAAGTCTTTTCCACATATCTGCAGAATGTATCATTATTTAGTTTTGTATCATATTGTGTTTTCAACGAAGTCTTTTCCACATAACTGCAGAATGTATCATTATTTAGTTTTGTATCATACTGTGTTATTAATGAAGCCTTTTCCACATATCTGCAGAATGTATCATTATTTAGTTTTGTATCATACTGTGTTATTAACAAAGTCTTTTCCACATATCTGCAGAATGCATCATTATTTAGTTTTGTATCATACTGTGTTATCACTAAAATCTTTTCCATATGTCTGCAGAATGTATCATTATTTAGTTTTGTATCATACTGTGTTATTAACTAAGTCTTTTCCACAAATCTGCAGAATGTATCATTGTTTAGTTTTGTATCATACTGTGTTATCTACGAAGTCTTTTCCACATAACTGCAGAATTTATCATTATTTAGTTTTGTATCATACTGTGTTATTAATGAAGTCTTTTCCACATATCTGCAGAATGTATCATTATTTAGTTTTGTATCATACTGTGTTATTAACGAAGTCTTTTCCACAAATCTGCAGAATGTATCATTGTTTAGTTTTGTATCATACTGTGTTATCTACGAAGTCTTTTCCACATGTCTGCAGAATATATCATTATTTAATTTTATATCATGTTGTGTTATCAACCAAGTCTTTCTGGGCTGGTGGAAAATAAACATATCAAGATTTCCCACCTTGGTTCATACTGTCAAGCGTTTTCTTTGTGCACCACCTACGACAACGACAGGACTTTACTGGTACCCGTTTTAGACTGGGACGATCTGGAAGCCAACGAGGTTGACCTGGCAACCAGGGTCTTTATTAGAAGAAAAAATGCACACAATCCCTCTCCACGAAGATTTGAGCCCACGACTTTCGGGCCCGCAGGCCTAAAGTCTGAAGCAAGCTACGCACCATGCTGATGTCATCGATTGTCCTTCTTATGGCTGTTTAACCCAGCCTTTCATGGGCACCGTGTGCAAGTCCCCAAGAAGTCCACGCGGGCTGGCGTGATGGACTGATCACATCCACCAATACTTGTGCCGATTTTTTTTGGTCTATAAACAAATATAGTCCTAGGCCCTCATATGACTAAAGGTGGTCGTGGTAAAGGCGTCCTTTTACTCTACTACGGTTGTGTCATACGCATTCACGCCGCTTTGCGGATCGGAAGTTCGTGGGTTCGCTCACTGGTGGAGCCGGAATATTTTCAAAAATGACCGTTGCTGCCACTTGGAACATCTTTCTGTCTCATTTGTGAAGATGAATTCTGTGAGCTGTTGTCATTTTCTATGACTCACATTTATAGCTCAGGACTGGCACATAGGTAGAGTGACATACAGCCATTTTGTCCTCTTGCAAGTGTCATGATTTGACACATAATACTATTATTATTTAATTATTAAACCACTTTTTTTTTCCTATGGCTGTTTGCAACAGAACACAATGCTGAAAATTTTTTCATTTTTGTCCAACTTACTGTAACAGACATTTTTGTGGTGAGTACCGATACCTTTATAAGACTAGTTACGATGAGTTCAGCTTGCTTTCTAGAAGAAGAAAAAGCCCTGGTATTATTCATTTTACTATGCTATGACTGACCACATCTGCGTCTGTGGCTTAGGCGTTGCGAACGTGCTTCGTAATGCCAGAGTGCCGGGTTCGATCAGAGCTGCGGACGGATTGTCTTGCATTGGTTTTGACAGTGGTACCGAGAGCTGACAGTTCAGTAACAATGGCAAACTTCTGAATGTAAAATGTTTCTAGAAAAACCACAACAGCCCACACACACAAAAAACGCTGGGGTTGCAAGTCTCTGGTCATGTCGTGTCTGTCTGACCCACTTCGATACATTAGGACATCATCTGCAAATTTCAAAGTGCGCTCTGGTCCAGTGGGCCGAATTTTTGCCAGACTTGCTGTATATATGTTAAACAAGACAGATGACAATGGAGATCCCTAGGGAAGGTCTGGGCGAATGCGTATTCGATCGATCTCTATGTTCCTAAACAAAATACCACTGTTCTTTCCAACAATGCTGCCCCCATCCATTAGCTAATCAAGGGTTCATACCACAGTCCATCACGCACTGCATAAGATATTTGAAGTCAACGTTGTTGTAGGCATCTTCAATCTCTATCGAAACAGCGACAATTTCTTGCTTTTGCTGAAATCCTTCATACATATCATATGCAAACGTTCTAGCATTGTTCCATGTAGCCTTTGATGACCTATAGCTGCCCAAGGTGTCCCATTCTTTCTAATTTTAACATCACTTTCTTAATTCACTAATTTTTTTTTTTCAGTAGTTTGCCATACATGTTTTGAAGAGTTACGATTCTATAACTGCTGAGCTGCGAGGGATCCCTGTCTGGTTTTGGAAATGGTCTAAGACAGCTGTGTAACCAGTCATCTGGTACATTTGACGTTTGGATACTATCATTAAACTCATTCACAACTCGTAGTATTTCATCACTATCTGGTTGATATGGCCATAGCGTACACCATCTTGTCCCGGAGCATTCTTCTGCTGCCTCACACTTTTATGTCGATTCCAGACACCAAATCTTCATAATCGTTGTCTATGACAGTGGTATGCCTGCGATTCTCTAGAGTGTTGATCTGATCTGTCTTATCGTCTTTATCCGTTTGGATTAAATTCCGCAACTAACTAATGACTGACCACACCACAGGGTACGCAACAAAGACGGACAGAAAGCGGCGTGAAGTTTCGTTGTGGATCAAAATGATAATAGATGGGAGGACATTTTGAAAGACTGTTAAATGAAAAGAGTTCTGCCCAAGACAAAAAACTGCATAGTGATTTAGAGTAATGGTTTCTCACCTGTAATTTCTTGGATATATAGCTTGCTGCGTCCGTGAACCTTTTAACTACTACTACTAGTGTTAGTAGTAAAGAGTTTAGGTTTCCCTCGTCACTGACGGCTATTTACTTCCGTGTTGGAGCTTGGGGTCAAAGGTCGTCATGTGATTTCTTCTTTCGAATCATTTTTATGGGTTTTCCCGTTAGTTGCTCATGAGAGATTGCAGCCTAAAACTGGTCATCCACATAACCTGAAATGACCCACGTTTTGGGTGGAAGGCGGGTGTCCCACGGGAGCTATACTGCTCGAGCCCAGCCATAGGATGATAAATCACTGGCGGATGTGAGGTACTTGACCGATGCACAAAATATAATGCCCGTTAACTTGACGTCTGTCGCAGAGAGTATGCTCATTTGCTGAAGCCGACCTCATGTGTATGGCTTGTGTTCAATAAATGTCTGACAGAAAATTATATAACAACTACCCACACTGAACTATATATTTTGAGGCGCCCCAATATAACCGTGCTGTAAGGCACTGAGCGTGGTTTCCGAGATTTGTAAATGCAAATTTGGAGGGAATAAAAATGATATATATATATATATATATATATAATATATATATATATATATATATATATATATATATATATATATATATATATATGTTGGTGTGTGTGTGTGTGTGTGTGTGTGTGTGTTTAGAGGATTGGATAAAAGTAAACGTTGGTCTCCCCACGCCCCGCCAATATATATATATATATATATATATATATAATATATAATATATATATATATATATATAATATATATATACTACCTTACTTCTGACTGGTAGTTCCTGAACCTGTCACAAGGCTACGGGGGTGTTCCGCAATGCCGTTGTTATCGCATGCTGTATATTTCAGCACGCAAGCGTTTTCAGCACTCCAAAAACATGGAGAGACTTGTCCTAACACAATCCCCTAGAGAATGCTGCAACCTATGTCACAGGCATTTCTTTTTTTTTTTTTTTTTTTTTCGGAATGAAAACGTAAATGCAAGACATCACAGAAAGCAAACAACAGAGCTGTACACACCCGTAACCTTCAGGAAAGTTGACCAGCCCAACAAACTTGTGAATGAAAAGTGACCTAGTCTGTTTGGAGAGATAAACGTGAACCTAACCAAGGATTAAATGTGATGGGATCAGGGTGCTTATGGACTTGTGAACCAACCGAATCCAGATTAATTTTTTATGTAACGTTTTACCGCAAAAGCAAATTAAATTAGAGGTGTTTGCGGGTCTTATCTGTTTGGGAACCACTGTTTTAAATGTTACTAAGACTTTTTTTTTTCGGCGTCTGTGGCTTAGGTTTTGCCAAAGCGCTTCGTAATTCTAAGGTACTGGTTCGATCCCAGCTGCGGGCGATTTCGCAGCTGGCTTCATAAAGTTGGCATCGACGCTGGAAGCGAGAGCCAACCGTCCGGATGGCAATAGCAAACTTCTTCTTCTTCTTGAAGTCCATGCCATGTGGCGTTGATGGTCAAGTCCATCCACAACCTTCTGTCTTAGGTACTTTTAATCAAGTCTCGCACAGATGATCCTCCATGCCATGACGTCAAACTGTCAGTATCTTTTCTCTCTGTCTCCCTCTGCCTCTCCTCCCCTCCAACTTTCCTACCGTCACAATGTACTCGTTTTCTCCTTCTCATCACACGACCTAAGAATGTAGATTGTCTCTTTCTGATATGGGCAATCAGTTATGTTCGTTAATCAGTTTGTGTATGTGTGTGTGTGTGTGTGTGAGTGTGTGTGAGTGGTGAATGCTGAATTAAGAATCGACATAAGCGCTCCGTCCACATTTTCAACAGCAAGCGAAAAGTTTCTATGGTACTAGTAACTGTCTGATTGTACATACGTCTCGCTTTTTTCCTTGAGTGTTCAACGTCGGCCAGATCCCATGATAACGGCTCAAAGCACCAAGATAGCATTGTCTTGTACCTAACCTTAGGGAAATATTTTATTCTTCAATGACACGCGAGGTCACATATTGACCAGTGGGTTTTTT